CCGTGTTCTGAGGTCGGCGGTGCGCGGACCCTGCCCGGCCCAGGCTGTCCCGACCCCGCTAAAAGCCCCAAGCACTTCCCCGCCCCTGGAGGGGGAGCCACAGCGCCTTGTGTCCTGTGACAGTGGCACTCTTGAGGAGCCCTCTGAGGTCCCATCTCATCTCACAAGAGATTCGGCAAAAATAAGCTCGAGCTGTCAGAGAGACCTGGCTAAGAAGTACCAGCTTGTGCCAGTGGTGGTCCTGGACCCCCTGGAAGTGCCAATGAGGTTGAAGAGCATGAAACTCAACAACCAGGCTGATGTTCAACCTGCCTGCCTGCAGCCAGGATCTCCCGTGGGCCGCCAGGGGATCTTGGAGAACAAGCACAAAAGGACCAAGGGAATCCCTGGGGAGGGCAGCACCTGCAGGAAAGCTTGTATCAGTGGCTTCAGTGCCAGCCGCTGGGGCAGTCACACCCGCCTCTGGCCCTGGAGGCGCAAGAACAAGAGGCAGCAGCAGCCCAATAATTCCCTTTTCAGACTCCAGACAAGGCAAAAACTAACTCGGAGGAGAGCTCTGGAGATGTCTGTAGGTGTCAGAGACAATGACTCTTCGCTCCTCAATAACTCTTATTCCTGGGCTAGAGTTCGAGCGTCTCTGTCCTTCCATAAAAAGAAGAAAGTGACCACAGATGAGAGTTTCTGCAGCAGCAGCCTCTGCACCCCCTCAGGGAAATCCCAGCTTTCGGGGTACCAAGCCAGCCTGTCTGCTGGCAAAGCTCAGGGCTGCTCCTGGTTTGCTTCCTCCATGGTCCTGCTGGCTCCCAGGGATTCCTCCTCTCTCCTGGAGCTGCTCCTTACAGATGCTGAGAAAGTGTTTGGAGAATGCAACCAGGAGGGCCCTATTGCTTTTGAGGACTGCATTCCTTTAAATAAAATGAAAGACTGCAAGAAAATTGGAGAAGGGGTGTTTGGAGAGGTGTTCCAGATTGATAGCGAGAGAGGACCTGTGGCCTTAAAAATAATTCCCATTGAGGGGACTGAAAAAGTAAATGGTGAAGCTCAGAAGAGCTTTGGGGAGATTCTGCCTGAGGTAATCATTTCTAAAGAGCTCAGTCTCCTGTCTGAGGGCTCTGTGAACAGAACTGTGGGCTTCATCAGCCTCTACTCTGTGCACTGTGTCCAGGGGGCCTATCCCAGGTATCTCCTGCAAGCCTGGGACAAATTCCACAAAGAAACAGGCTCGGAAAACGACCGGCCAGACTTTTTTGGGGCCCAGCAGCTGTTCATGGTGCTGGAGTTTGAGTTTGGGGGCCGGGACCTGGAGCGCATGAGGAGCAGCTTCTCCTCAGTGGCATCAGCCAGGAGCATCCTGCACCAGGTCACTGCATCCCTGGCGGTGGCAGAGCAGGAGCTGCACTTCGAGCACAGGGACCTGCACTGGGGGAACGTGCTGGTCAGGAGCACAGAGCTGAGGGAGCTGCAGTACGTGCTGGATGGACAGACACGCTCCATCCCCACCGCGGGCCTCCACGTCAACATCATCGACTACACCCTGTCCCGCCTGGAGAAGGACGGGCTCACCGTCTTCTGCGACCTCTCCACGGACCTGGTGCTCTTCCAGGGCGCTGGGGACCCCCAGTTTGACATCTACAGGCAGATGAAGGAGGAGAACTCCAACAGCTGGACTGACTACCACCCCCACAGCAACGTCCTCTGGCTGCACTACCTGGCTGATAAGCTTCTGAAAGCCATGTGCTACAAGAGGAAGGCAACAACTCCTGCCCTGAAGAAAATCAAGATGCAGCTCAGCAAGTTCCACAAGGAAGTGCTGACCTTTGAGTCTGCCCTTGATGTTCTGCACCACAGCAGCCTCTTCCAGTGAGCAGGGGTCCAAGGACTGAGCCACTGGTGCTGCCTCTCTGCTTTTTGTATGTGTTGGCACAATTATGTGTTTTGATTAGTTCCAAATATTTTTTAATACATTATCAAAAATATCCTAAAAAATCCCCTCCAATGTCTTCTGCTCTAAGATATTTCCATACCTGCTGGTTTTGAGGGGAGACAACAGAGCTGACTTTGGAGAAAGGAGGGGAAAACAGACTAATTCAGACACAGTTAATGCTCTGAATTTCACATACGTTTTCTTACCATTTTAGCCTTAGATTATTAAAAGTTCTTTTTTTACTGTATTGTCTTTTTTACAGATTCTTTTTTTAAAGGTAAAAGCTCTTCAGGTCTGGACAGCAAGGACAAGGGTTGAATATCATTGGCTCACTGGAGACAGAAGGGAAAATCCATCCTTTGATTTAATTTTGGCTAAATTTATACTTGGAATGAAAGTATAAAATGTAAATATGTGACATTTCTGTAAAGGGTTTTAAACCCACTAATCTGCACTTATCTGTTCTTTCTTTCCCCCTCTCTTAAGGACCAAGGAAGAGGTACCTGATTGTGGGGAAGAAAAAAGACAAAGTACCTGTGTTCCTGATTTTTAATGGTTATAATGTTGTGGTCTTGTGCACTGATAGGAACTCAAATCTGTAACCTGGTGGTAGCACTGAAGGAATTTCTTCCTTTATCTACAGAAGAAAATGCCCAAGGTAATAAATGTCCTTTAGCCCTGACTGCTGGTGGATCAGGTGCCCCAAACTGGAGGCTCTTAATTTAAATGCCAATTCCCTGTTTTCAAGAAGTCCTTTGCTAACATTCCTGTTTATTAAAGAAATTGGGCTAAAGAGAACAATAAATCAAAGTGAAGTGAAAATTGAATTACATTCTGATCCAATGACACAGATGCATTAAGAAATTAAGAGGCAGCATCATCAAATTCATTATAACTGCAGTGCTCTCCATGCAGTCCAGTGAATAAATGTTGAATTTGTGCATCTCAGAGATTCATCTTGGACCCTCTCTTGGAGTCTCCTTTTTACAAACCCAACAAGGAGACCCTGGGGTGGTTTTATTGTTCTGGCTTCCAGACACTGCAGAAAGTGACCTGACAATCTGCAGTGCTGCAAATTATTAAGATGGAAATTGTGCTGGAATGTTCCCAGGCATCCTCTCAACCTTTTTTTTCCCCCTCTCTAATTAAATAAAATCATGCACTGTGATTGAATGGTCTTACAACCCACTTGGTAAGGCCTGCAGTGAATGCTTATCTGACATCAAGGAGTGTTCCTCAGTCACAATGGTGCTAATTTCATTTATGCTTTAAAAGGAAAAAAAAAGGATGGATGAAACCACGTTATTTTTTGCCTGCCTTGGTGCTTTGTTTCTGATTTGAGAACTGATTTTGGCTGTACAGGAGGGATGGGGCTTTGGCAGGAATTAATGCCAGGAGAGGTGACAGCCCCTGGTGCAGGAATTTGGAGATTCTGAAAGCTGAAACCTCAGAATGTTTCTCTGCAAACCAATTTGCTGATTTGTGAGCATGTAGTAATTTTCATTAATCAAAATGTAAAGCTTCTACCTCCGCCCAAAACTGGACATTAAATTCATATAGAAACCATTCCTTTAAACTGTGCCTGCAAGGAAGTGCAGCTGCCAGAGCTGAGCCCTCATTTCTTTTTTTAAAGATGCTCTCTGATTAAAAAAAACCACAGAAAAAAATATCATGTACTAATCAGCCCTCATAAATTTTAATGGGAGGATGGTGACAAAAAAGGAATTGGAATAGTAAATTTCCCCTAATCAAGTTAAATGCCCTGAACATGTTTTCATCTGAGTGAAAGCTTTACTTGGAACAGAGCTGGATTAAATATTTTAGAGATCTGCTCTCCCTGTTGAGGAAAGAGGATTCCAGAACCCAGTTTGCCCCTTCAGAAAACACAAGTTTTTTAATAATCACCACACTGAAATCAGAGCCTTAAAGGGTGCTCCATGTTTTACTGAAATAAGGAAGTTTGAGCAAAGCTAAAATTATCCTAAGGGAGGGAAAGATTTTTCACATGGATCCAGAGGCTTTAGGAGAGTGAAAAGACCAAGCCTGGTTTTGTGTGATTGGTAAATCAGATGGATTCCAGTAGGAATTCTGGTGTTTCCAGGTAAAGTGGATTTTGTGGTGAAACCAGCGACCCTCACTTGGAATATGCTTTCATCCAAGTGCCAAATCTCTGAAAATTTTACTATTTTGATGGAGAAGACAGATAAAATATTAATTACCTGTGAATACTCTGTAACTCACCAGGCTGCTCTTAAAACCTGTATTTTTTTGCTCATTCCCTTCTGGAAAAACCAGACATGAAGTGCAGGAATATGAAAATGATCTCTTGCCTTGAGAAGCTGAATGAGAAGGAAGAGCAGCTCTGGCCTCAGTGTGGAGAGAATGAAGAGCAGCTGCTCAGAATATCATTCAGAGGCAGGAAAAAAGGGAAAATTGTAATTTCTGCCCAATTCTGCAGTTCCAGACTGCAGCAGTTAATGGTGGTGCTGGTGCCCAGGGGGAGAGGAGGCTGCCAAGGGAGAAGGAATTCTCCTTAGAGCTGAATAACAACACTGGGAAATTCAACTCGGCCTGGGACTGCTCCCATAAAACAAATTAGGTACAAATAGCCCAATAAAAGCTTGGGACTCTTGAATCAGATAAATCCAGTATTTAGCTCTCCTCCTAACAAGTGAAATGCTCCTTGCCCTCCCTGGAGCTCCTTGCAAGCTTTGTTTGGGTAGTAAATCACTTGGTGGCTGGGCTGGGTTTCCTCTCAGCGCTTTGCTGGGAGCTCTGGGGCTGTTCTACAAGCTCACCTAAAATGCAGATTTTTGGGGTAGTTTGGGAGCAGAGTTGTCACACTGAGTCATCTCCACTGTCACTGTTACTGTCATGGTCACTTCAGTGTGGCCCCACTGATCCTTCCTAGGAGCAGACAGAAAATGGAGTTTATTTAATGAGAGGCCTGCAGCATCCTGCTTGGAATTTGGGGGAATTATTCCTTCCAAATTCACACACAGGACAATGCAACAGCCCAATTAATTATTCAATATTCTTTAGGGTCTGTAGGAAAATGGTTCCTGTTCAATCTCAAAGGAGACCACTCCATGCTTTGTGTGACATTTTATCATTCAGGGGTGACTTTAAGCACTGTTGCACTTGTTCAGCTCCTCAGCCAATCTCCAGGGTGGATTTTCACCATGAACATTTGCCTTCTGTCAAATGCAAGCTGAGCAGCTCTTTGCTGCAGTGCTCTGCTGTTCATCTGCTCCTAATGAAATGCCAGAATTGGGATTTTTGGATGATTCTTGTTGTTTAAACCTCAGCCTGTGCTCTGGGATCTCCTGGGACAGCCCCAGAGATGAGGCACTCTATGAATGGGAGGTTATTGAAGGATGAATTGCAGGGAAAGTCAAAAAACACCGCTGAGGGATTGAAGAAAACACTTTTTGCACAAAGAGGATGTTTTATATAAACTCTAAATGCAAAATCTGGAGAGTGCAACTCCTCTGAGTCCAAGGGAGATGAGCAGTGCAGGTGGGATTGTGGCTGCAGCCCCTGGGAGGGCACTGAGAGCAAACACAGATCAGCTCACATCAAACCATCCTCATTTCCTAAGGGAGCACGTTCAGAATGTCTTTACATGCACACAAACAAAATTCCCAACACCTCAATGGAGAACTAAAACTAGAAGATTCTCTAGTGATGAGTTCAGCTCCCAGGAAAAGGTTTATAAAAAAGCAACAATATAAAAAATAATCTTCACCATGGACAAGGTCTTGGTAAATAAACTCCAGTTCTTTACCCCTGGATTGCCACAGGACAATAATATTATTTTTTCCCCAGTGATGAGAAGTTTTTCTTGATTAAATATTCAAGCTGAGGGGCACAGATGAGATTTATTCCTTTTTCTACTCACCAGTAAATATCTCCTGTCTGTGGCTGATGTTTCTGGAGAAGTTCAATGATAATTAACAATTAGATGTTGTGTGCAGAGGTACTCAGCAATGCTGACCAACACTCCAGAACCTCATGAATTATTCTTAGGAAATAAATGTACAACAACATCAGAATCCCTGAGGGCACTGCAGCCACAGTCATTAGTGTTCATTACTGAATGCTGTCCCCACTTCTGTGTCCTCTGCTTTATGAACACCTAATTAAATATTTAATTGTGGCAAGGACTCCTAATTGCTACTAAAGCAGCAACACATCTCAACTTGACCAGAATTCCCAATTTTTGCCTTGCCAAGGCACTGTAATACTGAGATTATTGTATCAAAACACAGTTTTGCTGTTTTGGAAAATGAGGATTCTCTCAGGGTTGAATCTCATGCTGGTGAGACAGGGGACAGCTGGTCTTGAGTTAGTCAGTGAAGAGCAGATCAGGAACAGAATCAAATATAAATTTGGAGCTGAAATATTCCAGGAAAAATGTTTTAAGGAAGCCTGGCAGCAAGAACAAGAACTGCTCAGTGTTTCCATGCTGTGTCACCTGGAGCAGGCTGGCCTATTTACAGAAGTTCCAGTTTCTGCTGGGAATGTTCAGAACACACAAAATCCCAAGAGCCTGAAGGAGCAGACAGCCAAAATACACCACTATGGGCAGAGCTTCAGGATTAAACGTGGTATTTATGTTTCCATTAGATAAACACATTATCTAGCAGTTCCAATCCTTTATCTGGAGTTTGTTTTCAAATCCAAAATGCAAAGAGAAAATCAAACCCATCTGCTCTGCCTCTGTCTGTGTGAGCTCCACAGGTCACTCAGCTGACAGGGGTCTGATTGAGAACGAGGGACAGTATGTAAATAAATTAAATTTTGTATAAATAAGCTAAATTATCAGTGCTGAACTGCAGACATCAAGGTCTTCTCAGACCTTCATCTGAGTTAATTCATGTTCACTATCTCGTGCTTGTCCAAATCTTTAGACATACAAGGCAAAACCCTTTGTAACTTGGACTGAAGGGTTTATATTTTAGATAATTTCTATCACTGGGAAAGATTTTTTTTTTAATGCCCCTCTGATGCTGAATTAAAAATAGAATAATGACACATTGCATGGAACACAGATTCTATATTTGTCTTTGAAGCATTTCCCCAGCACACTAAAAAACAACATTTATTACCTACCAGAGCGCAATCACGTCCTCCAGAGATCCTGCAAAGTCCTGGAGACCATCAGGAAAATCAAAGATTGTCCCAAGCAGAGGTCCAAACCTGCACCTTGAAGTGGCTTTTCAAGGTGGATGAACCAGCCTAGAAAACATCAGAGAAGGATTTATAACAAATATAGAATTCTTGCATTTAAAAATATAAAATAAATTGTACTGCATGGTGTTTTCTGAAAAGAGCAGGAGCTGAGGGGGTTCCCAGCCTGCTCCAGAGCTGGACCCATCCCTGTCCTCACCCTGTGACAGACAAAGCCACGAGAGGGTGCCCATTGTGTGAGCCCTGCTGTGCCCAGGCTGCTGCTTTCTGCTCCCAAGCACCTGAGCAAACTCCAGCAGGGCACCAAAGGGTTTCCTTTGTGACACAATTCACTTTAATCCTGGATAATGTCAGGGATCCTGTAGGATCTTTTGTTTTCTGCCTGGCCCTAGAAGCAAAGGTGACATGCAGAAAACTCCCCAAGCACATTTGTATTGCCAAGGGCTGCACCAACCAATTCCTGAACACAGGCAAAAATCAGAATTTTACCTCACTGGGACAAAAAGGGACAGAATAATTTTATTTCTTTATTTCTCCCCTATTTTCTACTGAGCAAGCCAGGAGCTCTGCAGTCCTCTACCATACAGGGAGAGCACATGCAGCAGGGAGCACAAAGCAGGAATGTTTTATTTGTCACTGCTCAGGCATGGTTGGAAAATCCCCAGCAGGGAGTGTTTACGCTGCCAGTGTTTGCACCTCTGTCTCCAGGCGATGGAGTGAACCCTCCCCTCTTCCCTCGACCTGCACCCAGCAGCTCCCAAAGCTCCAGCAAGGAGAGCATCAGTCAGCCCAGCAGGCTGCACACCCATGGGCACAGCTCAGACCCCACACAAAACCCAACCTGTGCTCCAGAAGCAGACAAGCAGCCCTTTCCCTGGAATTCTCTATATATAGCTTTGGAGAATTAGTGTCCTTTGCAGCAGGAAGGGTAATTTTTAGAACAAAACATCACATATCTACTTATATGTGGATCAGTTCTTATTATTTATTTTATTCCAGCCATCCTCAGGGACGGATCCTGTAACCAGTTTAGCAGCAGCAAAATCATTATTCAACAATCTGACAGCAGAAAAGGGAATAGCACAGCTGGCAACCTCCCTCCCTGTGACCCATGAGAGTGGAACAGAAATACAGCACAGCCCAGTTAGCTGAACTTTTTCCCACTCTTTTTCCAAATTCCATGATTCCTTCCAATGTATTTGCTGCAGAGGTAAAAGCACTGCAAGCTTGGGATGAACAAAGGGAAATGGTTCTGGCACTCAGCAGATTCATTCTTGTCCTAATGGATGAAGGTTTTCATCCAGAGGATTCCAAAATAGCAGAATTATTTTCTCTGCAATGATGGAGTCCCTGACTTCAGTGTTGGAGATGTGAACAGCAACAAAACCAACACTGCCAGCTGGGGATGGCTCTGCTGCCCAGTGAAATACAGACATGGTTCTCTTTGCCCAGAAAATCTAAATTTTCCAAGGATTCTGAGGAAAGAGTGCAACAAACCCCATGGACATTTTCCTCTCTGTGTGTTCAAGTTTTGACAAACATCCTCACAGACCAGAAATGCTGTAACACCCCACATGCCACAAATCTCAGCTGAAAAAAAAAAAAGAAAATATTATGGCAAAAGAGGAAGCAAGAAAAACCCCTTTGCACTCAGATTTAGTGAGAGTTCTGTTCCACCCCCAAGGCTGCCACAGCCACATTTTCTGAGACTTTGCCTGCTGCTGTCTAGCCCCAAGTTTGGGGTTTTTTGTGCTGCAGAAGCAGAAGTGAGGTTGCAAAGTGCAAGTTTTCTTTTCAAATTATTTTTTTCTCCCATTTTAATTTTTCTTTTAATCCCAGAGCAAGAAATGAAATTTCTTGAGTACAGCAAAGCCCAAAAAGTGAGAGGCAGCCCCAGGAGGAGTCCAGCTGCAAACTCCACCAGCTGCAGCCCTTCAGCCCCAGCCCTGGGCAGCTCCTGGGACTTACAGAAAGCATCTGCTCTTTGTCCCAGCCCCGCGGCTGTCACATTTCAAAGGCTCCCTCTGCGAGCTCCAGAGGCAATGGAAAATATGCTCAGTTGCAAGTGGGGTCACAGGGAGATGGAGAGGGAGGATCCAGCTCGTGGATCCAGCTCCCAGTGCTGGCTCCAGCTTCAGAGCAGCCTTTGGAAAAACAGGGGGGGAAACTCACCAAAGTGTGCAAAGCATCTGAAGAACAAGGAAGGTTTGATTCCATCTCTGCTCCTGAGGAAAATAGGGAATGAGGAACATAGCAGAGATGGGTTTTTTTTTTTTTAGGAAAATTGCAGAGAACTCAGAGCCTTCCACAGAGGGAGCAAGGAGCAGGCAGAGTGTGCTGGGGTAAAGGAGGGGTTTGGGTGCCCAAGGTTCATCTCTCACCTGCCAGGAGCTGAGGAACTCTGACCAAAGCACACCCAGAGGGTTTGGACAGCCCTGGAGCTGCACTGGGAGCTGTTGGTGCCTCCCCACGGCAGGGCTGGGCCCCCAGAGCCTCTGTGCTTCAGGCAGAGCAGGGAAACTGCAGCTGCTCCTCCACTGCCACTTGTGAGAGGTTTTATTGTTTAGTCAGAGCCCTGCAAAACCTCCCCTGTGCACAGAAAATTCTCAGTGGGGTTTACCTGCCAGGGGGAGAGGGAGAGGACAGCTCACCTGTGGAGAAGTTCTTGTGTTAATGACTGAAGGGTTTCCTGACAAAACATCTGTTAAGAGTGGACCCCAAAATTCTCTGGGGCCTCTGAACCACCATCCTTCATCCATGAGTGCTGGGCTGGGGTGGGATGGGGAAGCTCTGGGGATGCCAAAGCCCTGCCTCACAGCAGAACATTCCTGGTGCAGATCAAAAGACAAATGAGCACTGCCAAGCTTTAAAAGAGAAGCAGGTCCAAGGAAGGGCAGAAGAGGAAGGTGATGCTGAAAGCTGTCAGTGCCCACAGCCTCCCCAAACCACCAGCAAGGTTATTTATTGAGAGTCCAGCCAGGGATGGCAGATCTGATCCTGCCTTTCTTTACAATCCCCAAGTGCCCCTGCCACAGCAAAGCACCCAGCACAGCAATAGATTTATCATAGTCCTGATGAGCACCTTGCCAGATCTTGGGAACACTGAGGACAAAGCCATAGATGGAAAAAGCAGCTGAAGTCTTCACAAAGCAAGAAAACAACAGAAGGTGGAGCAAGAAAAGTCAGTTCCTACTCAGAGTCCCAGAGCAGTGAGGCTGGAGGGGGCATTGCCCAGCACAGGGGGAAGAACCCATTGAAGTGCAGGGAATGAGTTTTAAAACAAAATTTTGCTGCCTTCCACATGCATGCAGTGAGGATTAAGGTGATGGTGTCCAAAAGGAAAACCTCCAAGGCTCACTCAGAGTGGAACTGAGACATCTCAGGTTGCATGGTTTATCTCACTGAAGGGAAGGTGAGATAAACCTTTCCTGGGATTCTCACCAACCTTCCCCTGGATAGGGAGGGCCATCCAGGGCAGCCCCAGCTGCTCCAGGCTCAGAAGTGGCTGCACAAACTGACATGAAAAGAGGCCATGAAAAACAAGAGTTAACTCCCACAGCAGCAATCAGGAATCTGATAAGAACCTACAGTCCACATCGATAACACCTCCTCTCCCTTGCTGAGAAAGGCAAAGCTCTAAAAGTGCACCCAAAAATGAACATTTTTTCAGTTAAGTACACTTGCTGTATTGTTTACAGAAATTTTACATGTTATTACTGTTGAACAGGGTGAAAAGTGAGACAGCTCATTTTTATCTCTTTTCCCACAGAGTTTACAGCAGGCTGCACTCACAAAAAGGAACAAAGTCCTTGCAGACATTTG